ATACTAGTATCGAATGTTCATTCAATACTATTACTTAACAATTTTTATGCAAAACAAAAAATACGATTTAGTTTTAAGGAATAGCAGAGCCACTCGCGATTTACTTTCTCCTCCTTCACTAAAGTTTTCTTATAATATGAACAGCTACAGTTTCTGACCTATCATCTATCGAACATTTGCTACTTATTTGGGACCATGTTCTACTAATAAATAAATGATTTTTTTTTTTTTTTTCTTAAAATGTTAGGCCAAGTACCTGGATCATCTAATGCTATTTGAGCAGAACCCTCTTCCTCTTCGCTCTTATCTTCACTTTCGGTTTCACTGGAAATGGGACTGATTAATGATATTGATGATGATCTTGCCATTTCATCGCCTTCATAGGGTGTGACATTCATTGTCATTAGTGCTCAAGGATGTGGATGGTTGAGAATAATCAAACTCCGCATTTTGCTCAGTTTCAGTTTTTCTGGTTATCGGAAATAATTTTTCAATGCTGCGCTTGTCTCTTTTCTATAGAAGGCGCACAAAATGATCGAATCAGGGTGGTTATCTTTAAATAACTAAGGGACATTCCCTTATTAACATTAGTTCATAAGACATTAAAGCTTCAAAAACCCGATTATTTATTCAAAAAGTTAATAACGTTTTCAAACATAAATACAATATCAAAGAATATAAAAAACTTGGGCCAGAAATTAGATCCTACAATTTAGTTAATTTTAAGAAGCGTCTAAAAGAGCATCTAAGAATAGAACCATAAGTAATCCAATTACTAACAACAAATTCATGGCATCTTGTAGGATGTGAATATTAATCAATTGAATGTATAAATTAATTTAGCTAAAAAAATTAAATAACCTGTATGTTTTTTATCTTTTCTACGATTTAAATATGGACTTTTTTTTTTGTTAGGTTAAGTTGAAAAACAGTGAAAACTGAACTTCGCCTTTTCATAATTTTTAAATTTGTTTTTCCTCGCATAAATTAATATTGTATATTTTCCTTTTTAAGTGATGAATAAAGGGTAACCAACGGGACCCTATTATTAAGTCTCCGCTGTCTGTCCGTCTGTCTATTAGCGGGCTGTATCTCATGATCCGTAATAGGTAGACAGTTGAAATTTTCACAGAACGTGTATTTATGTTGCCGCTATAACAACCCATAACAAAAATAAATTAAAAATTAAAGGGTTTTTTGCTTTTTTTGTTCGATCTAAATAAAGTATTTAAAAAGTCCCTAGTATTAAATCTTGCACGATGGTGCGGAACCCTTTATGCACTTGGCGGTTTTTGCTGTTAGTTGTTAAAACTATTTTCTGTCATATTATTATGTTTGACATTTATCTCATGTATTTTGTCCTGTAAATGGATTATTCTGTTTGGCAACAAAATTTTTAATTTATATTTTTATTATTTTTAATTACCTAATTAGAAAACCCTGTACAACATTTCATTCATTCATAAATCTGATCAACAGGAACAGCTTGTTTGTGTTATTAATAAAATGAGAATGAATGGTCTTTCTAATTTTCTCTTATTGGTGAAGTAGCAGAAAAAATGCCGAAGCTGTATCCCTTTAACTTTGCCGAAATAATTCAGTTCTAATCTACAACGTTAGTCTATAGTTAGTTTATAGTTAGTCTATAGTTAGTCTATAGTCCATAGTTAGTCTACAGTTAGTCTACAGTTAGTCCTTAGTTAGTCCATAGTTAGTCCATAGTTAGTCCATAGTTAGTTCATACTTAGTCCATAGTTAGTCCATAGTTCGTCCATAGTTAGTCCATAGTTAGTCCAAAGTCAGTCCATAGTCAGTCCATAGTCAGTCCATAGTTAGTCCATAGTTAGTCTATAGTTAGTCCATAGTTAGTCCATAGTTAGTCTATAGTTAGTCCATAGTTAGTCTATAGTTAGTCCATAGTTAGTTCTTAGTTCATAATTAGTCTACAGTTAGTCCATAGTTAGTCCATAGTTAGTCCTTAGTCCAGAGATAGCTCAAAGGGCCACCGCTTGTCAAAAATGTAACAGTCAACTAGTCTAAAGTACTCTTTTGGTTCAACTCATAGATATTTAGTTACTGTTGTCAATATACTATTAAGGGATGAAGGCAGCACTGTCGCCAGACAAAGGGTCCTGGAGTCCAGAAGGAATCTTCATTCACCAGTGGCAAATAAAATTAATTAAAAAATAAAAAAAAAACAATTATTCCTTAATATAAGGTGGCGCAAAATAAAGTCCCCCATTTGTTTTTTATATAAAAGTAAGATTAATTAAAAAAAGTCATATTATAAATGAAAAATATTTATTTAAACTCAAAAAATTTGTTTTGTTACACACTAAAAACAATATCGACCAAATGGCTACCTCCAGCATTAATGCAATAATGAGCTCTTTTTAAAGCATTTTTCACAACTTTCTCCAACATTTCAGGTGGTATTTTGTCAATTTCTTCCCGGATGTTATCTTTTAATGTCTCTAGTGTTCGTGGGTTATTTACAAATACCACATCTTTCAGATAACCCCATAACCAAAAGTCTGGAACAGTTAAATCGGGAGACCTTGGGGGATATGCAATATCGGTGTCAAGGCATCCAGGAAAAATTCTGATAATCGACGAATTATTTTGATAAAAATTTTTTACGATTTCAGCATGTTCTCGAGGCGTATATCGATTTATAATGAATTTCCTAAGTATCTACTTTGCAATTGACAGAAAAACTCAAACAGATGTCAACTACAAACGAAACCATGACAACATTCCATAGGGTACTTGATTTTGCGCCACCTTGTAGCATTCTCGAGCGGCTTTGGTAACTAGTTATAGAGTCATTCCATACAAAATCGTCTGAAAATGAAAAAAATTGTTGCTGATCCATTTTAGATTTTGGTGTAACTTTGAGGAACTATTCCTTAGGGTCCCAAAGAAGAACATTTACACGAGTTTGATTTTTATAAGCACTCTTTTCCACCTATTTAAATAAAGACTTTAAAAAATCGATATTTTTAAGTCTTATCGATTTTTCCTCCGAAATTTTTCTTTTTGAAGATAACTATATTATTAAAGTGGAATTATGAGAAGGAAAGATAGTAGTTTAAGTGTAAGCATCGATAATTTGCTCAGTCAATACCTCTGATTAACGACAGCGTGCTGAAAATGAGTGTTTTTTGATCATTTTTCGTGAATTTCAATCGACTCCAGCATCTTAACTGCTTAAACTTAGCAGCTTATGTTCCTCAGAAATTAGGTATATATATCTTAGATAAAATACAGCCACAAGTCAACCTGAGCAACCCACTCTTTGCAGAAAAAAACTTTGCTTGAAGTTTTGAAATTTTCAAAAATTGCATTATTCAGGTTATATAATGAAGGTGTTGACTGCCATATAAAAATCTGAAACTCTTAGAATCTACTGTTCTTACCTTTAAATTTAAATGACCCTACCACTTGTTTTGTTATTTTTATGTTTAGTGCATGTGCCAGTCGTTTTTTTTACAGCAAAAATCAACTCAATTTTTTATTTCTTTCCAAATACCTTTTAAATATTAAAACATGTGAAGTTCGATAAAAAGGTAAGATATAATCTGTATTTGCGAAAAAACATAAAGAAAAACTGAATTTATAAAATTATAAAATAAAAAAATTGAGTTGATTTTTGCTGTAAAAAAACGACTCGCACATGCACTAAAAATAAAAATAACAAAACAAGCGGTGCGGTCATTTAAAGTTAAAGGTAAGAACAGTAGATTCTGAGAGTTTCAGATTTTTACCTGGCAGTCAACACGTTCATTATATAACCTAAATAATGCAATTTTTTAAAATTTCAAAACTTCAAGCAAAGTTTTTTTTTGCAAAGATTGGGCTGCTCAGGTTAACTTGTAGCTGTATTTTACCTATGATATATACACTTAATTCCTGAGGAACATAAGCTGCTAAGTCTAAGCAGTTAAGGCGCTAGAGTCAATTGAAATCTTCAAAAAGAAAAATTTCAGAGGAAAAGTCGATAAGGCTTAAAAATATCGATTTTTTAAAGTCTTTATTTAAATAGGCGGAAACTAGTGCTTATAAAAATTAAACTCGTGTAAATTTTCTTCTTTGAGACCCTAAGGAATAGTTCCTCGAAGTTACACCAAAATTTAAGATGGGTCAGCTTTGTCAATTAGACGATTTTAAATGGAATGACTCTATAGCCTCTATAGGCTTCACAAATGCTCAGAATATTTCATAACTGGTATAAATAATAAGTATTAAAACAGTAACATGTATATTTTAAATAAATACAAAATCCAGAATAAATAATTAATCTACATTTAAGAAATAAATTATAAAATAAATGAAACCTAATAAATAAGATAAATGTAAGATATAAATTTCGGGTGAAAATGGCAAAATTGGCATTTATATGGAAATCAATTAATTATCTCAAAACAAAACCCAAACAATATGTTAAAATAATTTAAAGATGTTTACCTATTGTACACAAATTGCTGCATACAATTTTACTTTACACATTATGGTGTTTCGGGACCTATAGGGCCTTTTGGTAAGTTTCGAACCGCAGTCCTTACTCGAATTTTACTTTTTAGAATATCAACATAATTCTTTGAATAAGTCTCTAGTTCAATGTAAGCCATTGACTAGAGTAATAACCTAATTGTTTGTTTTATTTCAATACGTGTGGTTTCTTTTGAATATTAAGTTAAAACATAAAAAAATACTTTTTAGAATTTTTGTGAAATTCTTTATATTTTTAAATAATAATACCAATTATTACACTTATACTCAGAGGTTCCAGATTCGATCCATAGTATATTTTCACATTTTCAAAAAGTGATAATTTTCTGATCAAGAAAATTTTAAATAACTTAGATTTCTTCACAGGAATGATAAGTTATGTTAGTTTTCCACATAAATTGTTTTCCAAATCTTGACTTATCCCCTCTTTAGCGCGTACAACATAATCATTTTGGAATGTGTAAGTGATATTTTTCTTTCTTTTTCAGAATTTTTTAACGAAAAGGATGTACAATTTAATTCTGCTATACTGGTATGTATCAAATGTATAATTTTGAAAAAAAGACAAAATTGACTATAAAATAGTATGAAATTTAAGAATTGTTAATTCAACTTTTTCTCTCTAATCTTCATATTAGTGTAAAGGCGAGTCTACCTTAGATAATATGTCTCTGAATATCTGTCACTGATCGGAATCATCCATTAAAATAAATTAATAAAATTAGTGTCAATTTAAAAACAAAAATGATAATTCTCAGACCATAAATCAGATGCAGATACTTTCAAATTCTCTTTTATTTTACTAGTAGAGATTCTGTCGGAGATCTAGATAGTTAGAAGCTGTATTAGGTTAAAGAAAAGACAAAATTGATAGTGTTGTTTTACTCCAATATATGTAGCCTCCCGATTAGGAGACCACTATTTATAACTATCTTTCATCTTAAACCGTTTCAAATAACTCTTCGTCGTAATTGCATATTATCAGGAAAGTAATAGATTAACTTAATAGCTAATACGGAAATGCAAATTTGATATGTGTTTTTTTACAGCCGATTTTGACTTTCTAATGTAAATGATATAATTGTATATGTGGGTGTCTAAGAATGATGAACGGTAGTACCTAGGTATCAATGGTGTGTTACAAGTGCAATTGCTTTAAGTAAAAGCGATGAAACCACAATTTTTTTACAAGGTTAAATTGCTGTTTAAGTGGTCATAACACACGATTATTGGTGTAGCGTAATATTGATTTTAGTTGTATCATCTTAAACGATGTATTTTCTCTGAGAATTTCCTACTAGTAACTATTAATTATGAAGATCTCTTTCAAGGATAATTAAGATTTCTATTTCTAGAAATTTCTTAGAGAGGACATCATCAATAAAACTTCCTACGAGATTTAAAATAAATATTATTTCTCTGACAAATGATTAAATTATTATTGTTCAGGAGACTATCCCATCGTATGACTTTTATGGGATATGCGTGGTTCACACATGACCATGTTTAAAAATGATTATTTCTATGACAATAGAGGAAAAATTATAGACGGTTCTAGTTAATTAAAATTTTACTCAAAATGGTACCTTTATTAATATTTTGTATGAAATATGTATAAATAATTTCTTACCTTTAGATAAGGAATAGTTTTTTTTTGGGTTATCTGGCTTTAGATAAAAAACTATGTCGACGTTTCGAAATATATACATATTACTCGTATAAAATACAAACATAATTTATTAACGAATTTTTCCTAATTACAAGAGTTTAAAAGTATTGCTGTCATAATATTACATAAAAAAAACAAATTTTTGTACGCTGTTCAGAAGTGAGTGAAACAAATTAAATGAAATTTGACGAAAGTGAACTTTAGAGGATTACTCTCCTTTCGGTAATTAAAGAAATCCAAAAGAAATTATAGAAGGGCTAAAACCACCCTCACACCCTGACATTTTTTTAGAACTTTATTAGGTAACACGGTTCTTAATTTTTTTTAGCAAGAAGACTGATAAATTATCTGCATTTTGTTACTCTTGTAAAAATTTCTTATTCCGCATAGTTACAAAGGGTGGGTGGCTAGTATAGGTGCCACCTTTGAGCTAACGAACAGTGTTAATTCACCAGTTGGTTAACTTACTATTAAATTTTACCATTTATGTTTCCTTAGATTTGTATGCAAAATTTACTCATGATGATATGTCCTTGTATATTTCTAAAATATGGATATTTATAATTTCTATTGAAATTGCACAAACTCACCCATCGAAAAATATATGGTCTTTCGGGGTGAATGCCCGAAGGCCATGTGTTTTATTGCGTTACATTAATAATATTTTAAAGCAAATGTCAACAATTATTTAAAACGAAACTTCTATAATATCTCAAAGAAAGTTACATTAACCTTTTCGACTCAACATTGAAAATACAGACATTTGGTTCGTCTAAACTAGACATAATATTTTATCTATCGTCGATTTTGGGTACTTCGCAGCTTTGAGCGTCGCCCAGCGTCGTGATAGAGAGGAAGGTATTTATTACAGTACTGTGTCGGGACGGATATAAGAAAGGAAATACTTAGAAGGTACTGCGCGACGAATGGTGTCGTGATGGGTATTTTGAAGGAAATATTGATTACAGGGATGTGACAGCGTTTGGGAGATAGATCGTCGGGAGGAAGTATGTCAGGACGTAGAAAGCTGGGAAGTAGGGCGGCGGTACGTTGATCGTCGGGACGTGACAACGTTCGGGAGATAGATCGTCAAGACGTAGAACGCTAGGATGTAGAAAGGTAGAGAAGTAAGGTGGTGGATCTTTGAGCGTCGAGACGTGAAAGAGTTCGGGCTTAGGCACTGTGAGCGTCGGGACGGGAAAGCTTTCAAGAGATAGGTTGTCGGAACGTAGAACGTCGATAGGAGGTAGGGTAGGATGGGCGTCTGTTACGAAGAGCATCTATTTAGGAACGGTCCTGAATACTGAACTTGAAATGTAACTAAATTTGAGAAGCAACTAAATAATAATAACAATAATAATGAATGGGTTTGGGTATTTATACCCACTTTAATGACGTTTGTGATGTTAATCTGTCATAACTCCGGTAGGAATGAATTTGGGTGTATAAAGAAGGGATGATCGATTTATTACGTGCCTTGAGAATTTATTGGAATGTGTCGAAATCGGTGTTAACTGTTTCAATGATTATTACTTCGTGAAAAGAAATATGTTTAATGGAGGTTTTTGGGTCGAATTCTCATGGGATCACTTTTCATAATTTCTGGTTATTGTGCTTGTACATGTAATATTAGAGACCCCGCGAACAGAAATATTGCTTTCATTTATTAGGCATCATAGATAAGATTTAATTATCTAAAATATTTTTTGTTGAAATGGAGGATTTTGAATTTAATAAGAATGCAACTTTTCTTTAACAAAATGAAATTAATAAATTATTAAGGTACCTGGGTGAAGTATGTTACAGTACCTATATTGTACAAGTGTGGAATGAACATTTTATACGTGTTATACACTATACTTTGGCTACGATTATATAAAAGGAACTGATTGTAATTCAGAAAAAAGTTGAAATATTTATTATAGTTATTAAATATTGATGGTAATTACAGATATTAAATATCATTTTAAAATAATTACTTGATTGCTATTTATTGTAATACAAGAATATAATTTGTTTTATCTTTTAGAAAGGTATACTATACTTAGGTTTATGTCCCTTAACGTACATTTAAAATTTAATTCACGCAGACGAAGATATGGGCTTAGTATGCATCAATGCATTTTTCATATAAACCGATAATGTATAGAGAACGAGCCTGAAACGGCGTCTGGCCCAAATTAGTTACATCAAATTGCTGTCTAGGAATCTTGACAGTCAATGTCATCATGGTCTAGAGGTAAGGGTAGTTGTGTACAGAACAAAGATGTCTGAGTTCCAACAGCGACAGGATTTTTTCAAATCTCTAAGTATATATTTTCACCTTTGAGGTTCGGGGATGATCTTAATAATTTATGAGATTTTATTTTCGAATTTTCAAAGTTATTCTACAAATTATTTTAGATAATTCTGACATTTCGGATTTTGATTTACGATCCACGATATATCAAATTCACAATTTTCTTGATAATTAAAATTATTTTACTATTCAAATATATAAAAAACTTAAAGGAAACACAATAGATTCTTATTTCTAAACCGGTTTGTTTACAACTGGATTTTTAAAATTGAGATAAAACCACTGATCTGTAATATTTATTGGCTTTGATGGCTGTTTTAAGCAAACAATATGGCGGACCGGATGTTTTTTAACATAATCCCCATTTCCATTTGTTACTTAATTTTATCTAAAAAAATAGATCTTTTTTGTGGAAAATAGTGAAAAATATATCCGTACTCTTCATTAAAGGTCAAGAAAAACTTTGAGATCTACTCTAGGTAAAATTGTAGTGCAGATTCTAGATGTAGCTGGAGTTAATATTGGATTGAGGCTAGAAATGGACCAACGTTTAGAAGTCTAAAGAAAGTTAGGTCATGTCAAAATACGATACAATAAGTAAAATCGAACATTTTGTAGTATAATGAACATAGAAAACATTTAGGAACGCAATTTTCTAATAAAATCGATTTTTGCTTTACGTCCTCTTTACCTTCCAAACTTCGAGTCTCCCTAGCCGAAAGATTTTTTGGTACTTTTGGTATTTATTATTGTAAATGACATCTAAAATGATAGTTCAAATTGAATGTCGTTTACCTATATACTTGTTTATTATGTATACTATCAGTCACCGTTTGTACACGCAAATCGAACTTCTAATAGCGGAAATATTTGTTAATTCCTTTTTGGTAATACTACTGCGCATAAATGTTTTTATCAACACCGATCTATATCACATTTCCTTCATAGTATCGTTTGTCCCATGCAAATCGGACCAATAATAGTGGAGATATACGTTAATGCCCTTAAAACATTGCTACTGCGCATTATTTTTTCTTCAACGTTAATCTACGTCACGTTTATTTTATTGGTTCGTTCGTTTTTCATTTACCTCGTATATTTTTCGTTTACCTATACCTGTCCTCGTCAACAATGGTCGCCATCTTGGATCGCTTAGCCAAGTCGCAAACTACTTATCCAAGTTTCAATTCTCAACACTGACAGGTGGCACCATCTCGCGGTGATTTTTCATACAAGTGAGTCCTTATATTTCAACTACTTCCGTCAATATCATAAGATTAAAATATAATGAGTTATGTAAATGCCTGTGATAATTGCATTCACCCGCAGGAGGAAATTGGAGGGACTAGGGCCTCTAAACCTAAGAGGTGCAAGCATCCAGCTTAAGGGGGAGGTAAAATATCTCGGGGTTATGATTGACTCGAGACTTACCTGGAACCAGCATCTAGAAAGAACCACAAGGAGAGCGGAAACCTCATTAATGATGGCAAGGCGATCCTTTGGAAAAAAATGGGGGTTAAAATCAGACATGGTATACTGGCTTTATAACATGGTGGTGAGACCC